GGTACTTGAGCAGCGTAAAGAGCGAGAGCGCGGTGAACATCTTGGACGACGAGAGCGACTCCTTCATGACAAGCGTGTAGACGGCGAAGGAGGCGGTCGTGACGAGCGCCGGAGCCGTGTACAGAAGGAACGTCACCGACGACTGGAGACGCCAGACCTTCCAGAGCGTCGTGAGCTCGGCTTCGCGGCACGTTGTGATCTTGTCGCCAAATTTCTCTTCCCACGCGTTGAGCTTGAGAATTTGCATGGACCCAAACACTTCGTTGATGACGTTCATGCGCGCGTCCTTGCGCACCATGACCTCCTTGAACGCTGCTCGCTGGGCGCGCGCAATCACGTTGTTGATGACCATCGTGAGGAGGAGGACGCCGGCGCCGGCAAAGGTTGCCCACCCAATGACGTCGTAGAGCATGTAGAGCACGATGAGAATCTGGATCGGAATGAGCCAGAGCTGGTTGAGGAAGATCGAGAAATTGATGATCCACACAATGTCGGTCGAAAACATGTTGGTGATCTCGCCGGCCGTCTTGTCCCGGCGACAGGCTGCGTCGAGGACGAGGGCCTTCTGGAAGAGGAGATGCTGCAGCGCCGACGTGATCTTGACGGTAATCACTTGGTTGTCAAAGGTGGCGTGCGCAGCGACGATCGCCTGCAGCACCTTGACGGCAAAGAGCGAGACGACGTACTGAAGCACAATGGTCACGTCAAAGCCGGCGTCTTCGGCCTCGATGGCCTCGAGCACATGCCGCAGCACGATGGGCCCATACAGCGTGCAGAGCACCGAGCCCACTTGGAGAAGACCGATGAAGAAGAAGCGCCAGCCGTACGTGGCGAGGATCGTCTTGATGACCGACCGCGTCGCGCGGAACTTGGGCTCAAAGACGGCCGAGACGATGCCGCACTTGTTCTCGCTCTGGAGCGGCCAGAGGTCCGACGGGTCGAGCTGCCGCTCGTTGCCAAGCGTCAGGAGCGGCGTCGCCCACGCATAGAACATCCGCGAGAACCAGCCGGCGGTGTCGACCGGGTGCGTCGACGCCGGCGCCGGCGCGGCCGACGCCACGCTCTGGTACTTGGCGCCTGCCCGAGACATGCTTGTTTCCGAAATGAAAGCGCTCAACGGGTTCGATAGTTCCGACGTTGGCGCGATACACTTGGTATTTGTATGGTCGTCGATTTCTTTTATCCGGCATACATCCGGATAAAGCCACCGATGTCGAAGTGATAGCGAGCGGCCGCTGGGACACGCCACGTGGTCAATGTGTTTAACGCATAGGGTAAACCTGTTCGCTGCAAGCGTGCAACGCTATGTAGCACCGTGCTGATGCGGTACTTTTGCCGGAGCTACGACAAGCGGGACGTCGAGTGCAGTCGTGTATGTGTACGTTATAGTCTCCAACTAGAGCGACAGTTTGTCGAGGTCTCTAGAACATAAAACGTGGGAACGATTGGTGGTTCAATTTACGGGTTAAACGGGAGCGAGAAGAATGCGACTGGAACTTGGCCATGGATGACGTGGTCATTGATGAAGGAAGGGATGTGGAGGCGCATACACTCCTTTCAATCTCGGACCACACATTGCGCGGTGCATTCTTCAGCCTTGCGTCGTAAAACGTAAGGTTTAACGTGCCAGCTGGCGGCTGCAACAGTCCAAGGTTGCGGTCCGAGGTTGCGATTCGAAGGGCAATTATCAGATTTCGTGTTCAGGTTCGTGTTTACCGTACCACGGAGTCCAACTCGACGATGGGACGCCAACCAAAGATCGTCGAAAAAACAAGGGGACTCGGTCTGGAGGCCTCCAAGAGATTCATCATTTTCCATTGCCTCGGTGGGCAGTCGTTACCTTCTACCGTACGATTCAACAAGGTGTATAAGTCGGCTGCATCGTCATGCAGCAACATGGCTCATCGATGCTTCAAGCACAGTACTTCCGTTTAGAACGTGACGTTCTTGCTCAAACGACCGCGTTGGGTATCCTGGCGCCGACAAGATTCTGCGAGCGACAAGCACAGCATCCATGTATCCATCGGTCCGTACGTCAGCTCAAATCTGGGCCTTGTTGGGTACCAGACAAGTCTATTAATAATAGTCGGTGGGAGATAATTGTGGGAGATGAAGTGTACGAGTATCGTGCAATCTCGCCTCAGCCTCTTCAAGAAGCTATCGAGCCTTCCGAAGTTCATACGTGTCGTTATGCGAACATATGTGAGTTTACATTATACAAGACGATAGTGCGACCAGGTCTGCACTGGCAAAGGCTCCAGTGGTGGTACCGGTACGCCAAGGCATGGCCTGTCGACAGTCTCGTCTCGCGAATAGCGACATGCACTCCTGGCTCGCGGATTACCCAACCATCATTCTGCATTGTTTTCAACACACGTAAAAAACAAGATCAAAAACATCCCATCCAGCGATTGGATTCGCTGAAGCCTTTTCTTTTTGGCCAATCAGCAATGACACGAGTGGGCCACCGCGCCGCACCATGTTTGGAACGCCAACTTCATGATTGAAAATGAAATCGCTCATACTTGGCAGGTGCATAGCATGTGCTTTGTAGAGCAATACAGGCCAGCCTGCGTCGTCGTTGGACAACTCTAGCGCGAGAAATCGCTCGGACAATTAAATCGGCACATGCCACTTTTGGTCGTCGAGACGCTTCCCGATGCCGAATCCAAGATCGCAACAACCATCATTCCAGCGATGGCAAGCGCGGTCCCACACGTCCTCGAGACCATTGCGCGCTTCCTGCCATCGCACGATGCGCTTGCAGCATTCTTACATGCACTGCCTCGCGACCTCTTGACGCCGTCGATGCAAGCACTCTCTGCGCTGGTCGAGCTCGCACTGGTGCCGACGCTCGCACTGGACTTCGAGGTTCCGTTGGCCTTTGAGCTCCACGGTCGTCTGTCGCGCGACGTCTGCGCGCTCATCCAGGCAACGCTACCACTAGCACCGCGTGTGCATGTGCGCTACGCGATCTACGAACGATGCGATGTCGAGCTGCTCGAGAAGTACCTTTGCGACGCGCTCGTCGAGGTCACGATCAAGTGCAGCTGGCATCCGATGGTCCTCGACGACGCCTTCTTCATGCGCGACACGCTCCTCGCCTGCCCGCGCCTCGAGCGCCTGCGCATTGTGCGCGGCCACTCGTCAGCGTTGCTGGACCCGCTCTGGCTGAATGCGCTGCTCTCGGTCCTTCCGCGCGTGCGTCATTTTCATTTTCGGGGTTACCGCCTCACGAGCGTGTCCCATACAGAGTTTGCCTCCGCGCTCCTGGCCTGGCTCGAGGCACCGCAGAGTCTATCACTGGCACTGCGCGACGTGGCGCTCGGTTTGGACCGCCAGGCCTCGCCGCTCGCGACCGCGCTTGTGGCGGCCATCGGCACGTCGACCTCGCTGCAGTCGCTGCGTCTCCGCGACGTTGATCTCTTCAAATACGGCGTATCGCACCTGCCGCCACAGCTGGTGCATCTTGAGTGGGACAAGTACGCGGCGCCGTCGTCGTTTCCACCCACGCTGCCCCGGACGATGGCCCGCGCGCTCCTGGAAGCCGCCCAGCTACGCTCGCTCGGCTGCGCACAGCTCACAAGCGCCATCGACCGCGACATGCTCCGACCGGCGCTATCGCGGCTCACGCACGCGTCGATCTTTGCGCCGCAGCAAAACATCCCGCGGCTCCTGCGCGGGCTTCCGCACCTGCGCCACCTCGAGCGACTGGACCTCAAGCGCAACGAGCTCACAACCACGCAGCTCGAGGCGTTCGTACGTCTCTTGCGCGACTTGCCGCACTTGCGCCACTTGAACTTGGCGGAGAATTCGCTGGAAATGACCGACTTGCAACACATCTTTGCGGCGCATCTGCCCTTGGCGACGCTCAACGTGGCGTACCATCCGTGTGCTTGGAACCAGTTTGTACATCTCGTACCGACGCTGGTCGACGCGATGCGAACAATGACGCGAGTCAATGTCTTTAGTCAGTGGTGGCGCCACGAGCACCACGTCGCGATCCTCAACGCGCTCGCAACGGCGTATGGCGACGGCGCCTTTTACGTGTCGTCCCATCGTGGCAGTGCGTCGATAGACGCGAAGACGCAGAGTGTGATCGCGTCGCTCGGCCTTGGACGACAGTGGCAGAAGCCGCAGTGTGCTCTCCTCTTTTAAAGACATTTTGACCACGGGTGCAGATACTAATGTCTTATTCCACGAGGAGGACTTCACAATAGGACGGATCTCTTCGTACTCAATCATCGGGGATCAACGAGGACATGCCAACGACAAATGTACACTTGGAAACGACATCAGCGCCTCGGACCAACCCACCGTCATAGAAACGGTATATTGCACACATTTACATAGTCGGAAGGCTCACGATCGATGGTCGCCGTCGACTACGACGACAGCGGCTTGGTATCGTGTTGCTAATGTGCATCCTGCGCTCTCGTCGCGCCACGTATTTCATCGTCACTGCAGCGCTTCCTCGTCCTCATGGGACAGTCGCGGCGCGTTGTCGCCGGCCGTGCGCTGCGTACCACCCACGTCGTCGGCGGGCCAAGTCATCGTGGACCACAGAAAGGCCATGCATATCATTTCCCGCTGGGACAGGATCTTTCTGACACGGTGCGCGGAGAGCCACCAGTTTGTGGTCGTCGCGCATAGAGACGTACGTGGCGCCCGCTCTGCGACGCTCCGCTGAAACGAGTGGCCGTCCGCGACGCCACGTAGAGGCCGACTGGTGCTGAACCTTCGCAGCACCTTCTTCGGTCCATTGATTCAATTCGCAACTTCAACTTGGGCGCGAATAAAAGGCCGTTCATTTTAATGGCCTTCTCCGGTCTTTTCTCTCTCCATTTGTATGCCATAAAATAGAAACGACCAGGACGAATTTGCAAAATTTAAAAAACGTCGCGCGTTGCCTGGCTATCTCTGGAGCGGGGTAGGTGTTTTGTAGCCAATCAGCGCGCGGCTTTGGCGCCGCCGAGAACAAAATCCGCAAAATGACACGGCAACATGGCGCGATGGCGGGTCGTAGCCAATCACCCGCCGATGTTCGCGATACAAGCCGGCGCGGTGTCTCCATATTTCTCAAAGCGCCGAGCAGTGGCTGCGGTGGGTCGTCTTTACCGTCGGCCACGAAGAAGTGGGGCTCGTAGTCGCCAACAAGTCGACTAGTACTGACTCTCGCGTGACCAACGCGTCAAAAAAGTGACGTTCCGCTACGCACTCTATCTTTGGGCATGAACCTCGCCCGCCACTACGCCTCGCCGCTCGAGGGCATGCGGACAGCGTCGCCGCCACCCGGCGCGACCCACCGCGACTTGCCCCGCTTCGACCAGCTCTACGCCAAGCAGCATCCGCGCGAGACGTCTGCCGTACACTAGCCGCGTCATGGACATATCTAATCGAGGTGCTTGTAGGAAGCCCAGGATCTCTTGCGGTCCCAAGAGCTCTTTCTGAGCGTCGTCTTGGACTGGCAACGACACGATACGCCGCAGCATGCGCAGGTGCAGCGCGTCCAGCACTACGCCGAGCCCATGTACAGCTCGTCGTTTGAGAGCTCTGAGGGCTCGGACCACGAAGGCGGTCAAGCGCTCTTGAGCTTTACAAAAGGGTCGCCCAAGCCGATCGTCGACGATCCCAGCCCCACCAAGTAGGCATTTCGGGACATATTTGGACGAGTCTCTCATATGGCGCGGCCGATACTAGCTTGCCACGGGTGCATCACATGCCACCCAACCACCCTGCGGGCCCGCCCGCCCTGAGCCTCAACAACCTCCTTCCGGTGCCGTCCAAGAAGATTGGCGTCTACACGCCGCGCTCGCGCCGCGTCCTCATTGAGAAGTACATGGAGAAGCGCACCAAGGTAGAGTGCTTTGTGACGTTTTCAGATTAAACAGATTTCGATGCGTAGCGCCTGTCCCGGAAGAAGGTCCGGTACCGCGTACGCAAGACGCTGGCCAACGCCCGGCCGCGCGTGAAAGGCCGGTTCGTCAAGACCGAGCAGCCGCTAACGGCCGCGGCCGTCGAGGAGATGGAGAAGCGCCAGCAACAGCCGTCAACTGCCTCCGAGGCCTTTGACTATGTGCACGCGTTTTTCGAGCTCGAGAAGCGGTCCCGGAGCGACGTGGCCGATACGTTGAACAACGTCATGACACTCAAGCGGCGGCGCAACCACGACATCAACTGGGAAGAGTACGTGACCTGCTCGTTTCGCTTGCCGAGCTCACGCTAGCGCCACTAGCTTGTCGGCCAACTTGGAACAGTCGATGCTGGCGCTCCTGCCGCGCCAGCACTGCGAGTCACCGCTTCCCGACGTCCAAGCCGAGCTCATCAATCTGCTCGCCGACGCCGAAGACGAATGCACCCAAGACGCATACCTCCGCGCGCTCCACGGCTGCGCCTTGTACGTGGCTCTGTGCCTCAGCCTCTACGCGAGCCTTCGACACCCGAGCTTGTGGGACATGGACGACGAGCCGTCGCCCGTGTTGCACCACTACCTCGCCGACATCAAGCAGCTCTGGCTTCGGCGAAAGACCAAGAAGCAACAAACGTTTGATGCGTTCGACGGCACGGTGCACGGCCTCGCGGCCGTCATCTGCCTCGGGTACGACGACGCCAAGCGCTACCTCAAGCCCCTCACGCTCTAAGGCGGACGTGCCACTTTGTATTTATGAAATTTCGACTATGTATGAATTGAATTTGTAAACTAATAGCCTAATATATACAATATACTTGCAACAGACAATATTGTACACATCCGCACTGATCCAGACAAACGTTCGACCCGCCATGGCACTACTAACTCGCAACTGCTGTGCTTTGGTAGTCGCCTCTCTCGCATCTTTAACCCTTGCGGACGTGCACTCGCAGCCAGTACAATTTGTCCTACCATGGAGCGTCAACCTTGCCACGCAACAAGATCGCAGCGGCAGAGGCAACAGGCGGGTACATATCCGGATACGATTGACGTAACCGGACGTTACTTTAGCATTGGCGGTCGACTTGCCGTTGATAGCGATCCCGTCCATGACGCTGCTCGTGAAGAAGGTGCTCGAGCGCGTCCCGGGCGAGCGCCTGGGCATGACGCTCATCTCGCTCAACCCGAATGGTCCGGGCTCTGTCTTTGTCTCGTTTGTGCATCCGAGTACGGCGGCGGCCCGCGCCAACGTGTGCCCCGGTGCGGCGACGACGACCAGCGCAACGATCGATGATGGCCTCATCTAATGCGGCGTAGGCTGGGAGATCCTCGAGCTGAACGCGAAAGGCGTCGAGGCGCTCACGGTCGAGAAGATTGGCCAGTACGTGGCGGCAGAGAAGGGCCCGGTACGCTGCGACGAGCGACGTCGCGTGCTCATCCTGCCTGTCTAGATCACAGTCATCTTCAACAAGGCGCACTCTCAGGGCTATGAGGACTGGAAGAAGAAGAGCTTACAGAGCATCCAAAGCGTCTCTCGGAAGCGTGCGATGAGCGACGCGCTGGACGAGCCGCCCGAGGTTGCAGTCGCTTCAAGCAAGAAGCCGACGAAAGCTTCGCTCACAAAGACCACACAAGGACCCGTGACGCGGTCGTCGCCAGCAAAGACGACGAAGAAGGCGATGCGGTCGCCGGAGCCCAAACCGACATCCAAGAAGCACACACCCAAGCCGCCTGCCGAGCCCGCGGCCGCACCTCACGCCACGCCAGAGCCGAAATCCAAGGTCAAGGCCAAAGCCAAAGCAGTGGCAGCGACAACACCGCCACCAGAGACCACACCGTCCAAGCGACCGGCGACGAAAGTCCCTCGGGGCCAGCGACAGATGAGCGAGTTTGTCGTCCCGATGAACGCCCGTACAACAAGACAAGCTTGCTATGAAATTGACTCTTATCTATGGCACTAGCGCCGTCGCCGGAACCCGAAGAGGTGACCGGAACGAGCCGCGCGTCCCGCGCCGAGAACGCCAAGATGAACTTGGTCCTCCAGCGGCTCATGGGCATGGGCTTCAAGCGCGACGATGCGATTTTGAGCTACGAAAAGACGGGCAGCGGCACGGCCGACCAGTGCATGCTCTGGCTTGTCACGTATCTCGAAGAACGCAAGTTTCTCGCAGACCTCAACAAGGCGCAGATCGCCTCCGAGCTGCAGAAGCGCACGGACGACTCCCAGCTCAAAGAAGTACGACCCGGTGATAAATTTTGTCTCACGCCGTCTTCCCATGCTTGTAGAAGGCGCAGGAGGAGCTCCGCGCGACGACGACCTTGCGCAGTCTCTTTCCCGAGGTTCGGTCATTGAGCTTTGCAATCCACTCATACCCCATGTCTAGTCGGTCGTCTTTGCGACTACGAGTCCGTTGGAGGCCTTCCAGCGCTTCATTGACGACGACTTGACCCGGGTCTGTGCTGAGAACCAGCTGCGTACGCTCGTCGCCGAGCTCTTGACGCTCGAAGGCAAGGCCAAAAAGTGGTTTGGCCGCCCCGCCGAGTGCTATGTCGCACAGCTTTTCGAGACGCTGACCCCGATTCTGACGGCCCACGCGCCACGAACGTGCTGCTGCCACGCGACTGCGGCGTTGGCCTCGTGCGCGCTCGTGGACAGCGTCGCGACTGAAATCGCGGCCTTGAAGCGCCACTTGTACGCGATGCCCTCAAATACGGGCGGCATCCCCGAGGCCTTTCTCAAGGCCGACGAGAGCTTGCGGTATACGCTTGACGACGACGGCTTCGAAGTGCTCGACGTCGCCAAGAGCAGTGACGACGACGACGCATAAGACCGAGTCGACCAGTTGTCGTGATGAGATTTGCCTTCTTTGGTGGGAGTTGCATAATGCCACGGTGGTGGGCTCTGGCGACCAATGTCCCATCCCAAGCATCCTTCTATGGACCGTATGGGCCAAGGGACCAATAACAGAGTCGTAAATGCCCGTGGGTGCTGGCGACGGCCTGGACGAGTACCGAACGCGTGGGCTAAAAGTATCAAGGTATCGATTCGTTTTCGCAACGGTGGTGCTCAGTGGAAGCGACTAGGATCTTAGCCGAGGTAGATGCCTTCGCCTGCAAACCAGAGACCGTTGTCGTTCTTGGTTGGCACAGCGTTGACTTCTTGCTGGCCGACGATCGGGCAGCGCGGACAGTTTTGGTTGTTGAAGCTCGCCGCGTGGTCGCTGTGGAGGTACCGCTGCGTCTCGACGTGGCGCAAACGCACGAGGTCGTCGCGCGCCCAGCTCGGCGCCGCGCCGTTCGCACACGCTTCGTCGCCGGCCTTGCATTGCATGCCGCTTTCGCATTCGAGGATCCACGAGTCGCTGCGGTCGCCGTCGCCTGCGACGCCAAAGCCGCTCACCTCGCCAAACCGACCGCTGGAAAGCGGTGACGCAAAGTTGTGCGAGTGCAGGTTCCGGCGCGTGTTGATGTGTTCGAGGCGGATCGTGGAGCCGCAGGCAATCTTGGCCCCCAAGGTGCACGCGGCTTCGCCGTCGCCTTCCTTGACCTAGCATGCTTATCAGTATGCATGCGATTGCAGGCAAAGCACGCACCAGCCAGTAGCTGTTGTAGTCGTCGCGCGAGCCATGGGCGGTCACGGACTGCTGGCCACTGCCCGTGCCATAGTTGACCTCGTGCGAGTGCAGGCGGAAGCGGCTTGCTTCGTGCACGAGCTTGATGGTGCTGCCGCAAGTGACATACTCCATGCCAGCGGGATAGTGCAATTCGGCGGACGCATCCTCTTTGCACGCGTCGTGGCACGTGAACAGGTGATGTTCGCAGTCGACTTCGCGGACGCGCCGCCGGTTCTCGCACTCGCAGTAGCCCGAGCTGCCCGACTGGATCGTCGAGCTGCAAGACGCATCGTACCACGAATCGCGCGGGCCTGCGGGGTCGCAGCCGGAGGTTGCTCGCCACTTGACACAGCGCGGCTCGTCCGCGACGACCACTGTCGACACGAGCGCCAACGCAATTGCGGCTGCCAGCATCCTCGTGAAAATGGCCAAGCGTGTGCCAAGTGTTCACACCCCAAGGCTGTATTTAAATACAGTATTTATATTTTCTCGGAGCATTAGAATACCCACGTCAAGATGCAATTGCCACGTCAGTATTTTATTGTCGTGTGCACAACAATAAAATTAACATTATCCGGATTGTATCCGGAAAACGTGTTGCGATCTTTGGCCAGGATACGCGTCCACAGGTGGCATGCGCTCGGCGTCTGCTGTCCTAGCCAACTGCATGCATGACTTATAGCCCAGCCTTGCACTAAGAAATGCTTGCTCGAGTCGGTAGAGCTTGAAGCGTGCACGTGTCGACAGATGAAACTCGCCAAGAGCAGGTCCATGACCAGTTTTTAGACGAGTTGATGGTCAGCACAAGGTGTATTCCTTAGCGTCTCGCTTCGATATGCTGCAGCCACGGCTCCTTGCCCTGCATGACCCACGCATTGATGCGTCGCTCTGGCAGCAACGTCGCCACGCCAGCGGCCACGAGCCCAAACATCGACCCCAGCATACACTTCTTGTGCAGCTTGACGTTGCGCTGCCGGATCGCCTGAATGCCTTTTCCCAGCGACGCCAGCGTCAAGACACTGAGCGCGTGGACCGGGCTAAAGCTGCCGCTGGGCAAGAGCTCCGTGACGCCAAAGCTCGTGAGGCACGTGGCGACCATGGAGGCAGTCCAGACGCGGCCGAGGAGGACGTGTCGCTTGGTGCCTTTCTTGGTGGCGAGGACAATGGCGCCGAGAACGCTGGCAGGCACGACAGCAGCCAGGTGCAGCGCGAGGGGCATGTGGACAGGCGCCTTGTCAGTGGCCGATGTCATGAGGTCCCTTCACCTTTCAAACTGACCCAAGAATGGAGGGAGGATCCACGGGCGGATCTACAGTGCACGCCATCTGTAGACTACCAAATCGCCTTTTTTGTAACAATTTCGGCTCGGGCCTTATCCGGATCCGTCGCATAGTAAAACTAGCATAAGCCGGATAGTAATTTTAATAAAATAGATAAAATGGTGTAATAAAAATAATAAAATAGTAAAAGCGATGAAAAACAATCGAGCGATGGTCCTGTTTCGTAGCAATTTGGCTGTAGAGCCCCAACTTTGAACGCCGATAACTTGCTCAGTTTTTCGATTTATTGCAATCCGTTCTTATACATCGCTTCCTATTGGACAGAACAGTCGATTTATAACGTCCTTTTCGTAGAAAAAGGTGTATTCATAGCTGGGATACAAAAGTTTTGGACCCCATTTAGCTGGTAGGGTACAGGTGGCGTGCACTGTACTAAGACTAAATTACATGTTGATGATGGCTACAGTCATCCGACGTATCCGGATGATTTCGCGAAATGCGGGATCAGCCACTTCAACTTTGGCGTTTGTCCACCAATGCA